AATAGCAAAATGTGAAATAAAAGATTGCGATGGAGCCATTTAAAGCACCTTCTATAGTAGCTATAGTTGTCTTACTCTATTTTTTAAATTTCATTCGATGAATGATTGCTTAATCAACAAAGAAATAGATATGAGATGGTGTTTGAATTATAACAATGCAGAGGATATAGAACCAAGATCATTGACAACTACCAACTCAGAGGAAAAACATTCAGTTAAAACAAAATATGTTAAACAATCTTGCTTACCTGTTTAAACCGTTTTTCTCCAGTTTGGAAAGGAAAAAAATCCCGAGTGAAACATCTTGTAAATAAGATCTGGGCCAAGATACAAGGCACAGAAATGTAAGTAGATCCTGAAAATTTGGGTACAGGATAATCTGATTATCTTGAGCCAAGATCTGTGTAATAAGATCTTGAGTATAAATTCATCTGATTCGATTATCATAAAAAACGTGCATTATGTACGCAAGATCTTAAAATTTTGCGAAGGATCTTGATTTAATAATATTTTTAAAAATTATTTTGCTACTTCGTGAAATTCGATTGTGCTGAATCGCTCAAGAAAACACACTGTCGATTGAAAAATTTTCATGAGGCCAACGATGTCGAAATTTTTTTGAATTGACCATTAACCACTAAATTGACTCCTTGTGTTTGTAGAAGAAATCTGACTTCAAATTCAGCTTCAGCACCAAATTTTACATCAGATAGGCCATTTCAGAAGTATTTCGAGGCATTCATAAATGAATTTTAAGGATTATTTTAAATCATGGATATTTGCGTCAAGATCTTATAAATCTGTACCTAAGATCTAGTTACAGATCTTGGTGGTACAAGATAATGTGATTATCTCGTACCTAAATTTTCAAGATCTACTCACTTTTCTATACCTTGTATCCTGACCAAGATCTTGCTTATAAGATGTTGCACTAGGATTATAACCTAATGTGAAATTTTCTTATTACAACGTTAAGAAGAACCAGTAAGAATGGTTTCGGATCAAAAAATCGCTTTCTCTTTTTTTTCTACCTTTGAATGATAGAATTTCTGCCATTTCTGTTTTTCGAAGTGGTTTGCTGCCTTTTAGATGCTAAGAGGTGGCAGCACTGCTTGTAATACAATTATCATTAAATGTTTGATCAATCAAGTTTAGTGATAATACTTAGTACCTAAAGACTATTTCATGTCGAACTGATAGAATAAGCTGGATATAAAGTAATTATAATAGATCTTCATGTGAAATATTAAGAACTATGTACCTTTGTTATTGTGCAGTTAACATTTCTCATAATAACATTGAAGCACTCAGCATTAGCAGATGACCTCTATTGTGGTATTTTAATAATAAGTAGTCCAGAAAATATTTGATATAATGTTCACTGTTATAAATTTTTGTCTCATTATAGCTGTCTTTTTTCCGAATCATTCAACTCGTTGTTTTTGAGAAAGACCAAAAACAATCGTTGATTCTGCTTACTTAATTAAAATATAGATATTAAAGACGCTTTGTTTCAGTATGAATTGGACGAGGGTAGATTGAAAATAAAAATATGTCTGTGATTCTAGAGTCTATTGTAACACTTTTTCTTTAAAACTTAAAATGACTGTTTTTGAAAAACGCCATTAGCGAATAGTAGATACTCTAGTATAAGCAAAAGTAATTTTACAAACAACCATATTTTTCTTTTTTCAGTTTAGCAATTGAGAGATATTTTTGGAAATAAATTAAGAAATTGTTGCCATATTCAATTAGAAAATAGTCTCAGCATAGCTGATATTATGAGTTTCGATGACTCCTGTTTTTAATAATATGTTCTATAATACGATAGAAGAAGAATGTTTTATCTGATCGATATTTTGTGAATTTATATTTTTCCAACGTCACTGAAGCAGCAGGAAAATATGAAATTGCATTATATTTTTTCAAAAAACTGTGTTTTTAAAGTGGATTAAAAGCTTCATATTAACATTAATATATATATTATATGGTTTGTCAGTCTGGCCGGAAACCCCAATTTGCTTTCTTTCTATTATCAGTTAATGACCTAACCAGCTCGGGGTTAAATTATCGCTCTCATCGCTAAACTATTAAATTTAAAATATAAGTTGCTGATGGCTGTCTTATAACGAAATTATTAAGTTCCTTAAAAACGATAGGAGACAGTTTCGTAAACAGAATAATTTCGTTATAAGGCAGCCATCAGCAACTAATATTTTTAAATTTAGTAGTTTAGCGATGAGAGCGATAATTTGTCTCGAATGTGATTAGGTTATTAACTGATAATAGAAAGAAAGCAAGTTGGGGTATCCGGTCAGACTAGTCAACCCTATATACAGTTGGTAAAAAAAAGTCTTCGATCACCCCGTTTTAGTCTCGTACAAAGACTTTATTCAAATAAATCCCTTATAAAGGCGAACTCTTATGAAACTTATGCATGATAGTGAACTTTGTTTGCTCTATCTAATGAAGGTATTTGGAGAAAAAAAACAACATGTTTTGAAATTGAAAATCAATTTTTGCGGAAAATCATGAAACTTTCCGAAAAAGTGGATCCCTAACAAAATTCAGTAGCTTAGTTGAATTGCAAAACTACACGTGCAATTTTGTAGAGCAGTTCACGGCGCATCGAATAGTATATAGCAAATCAAATTTCCATCAAGTCTTGATGCATTAAGAATCCGTATATACGAAAAAAGCTCAGTGTAGAGATAATGGTTCTGTGCATGCATGCAAATCCGTTATTGACATTGAAAAATTGATCAATAATTCTAGAAAGGATCTTCGCTCTTGGTTTTTTTCTAATGCTGATAAGGAACACGTCTGATTATCCATCAGTGGAAAGAGAACTCTTGTAGTGCATGCTCTCATCCAAGACAAGTAATAAACACTAGGCGGCTTGGGTCTAAGGTGGTTGTATACGTTCACTGATTGTATATCTCCCAACCAGTATTTAGATTATTGATTCATCAAGACTTGATGAAAATTTGATTTTCTATATACCATTCGATGCGCCGTGGACTGCTCTACAAAACTGCATGTGTAGTTTTGCACTTCAACTAAGTCATTACATTTTGTTAGGGATCCGCTTTTTCCGAAAGTTTCATGATTTTCCGCAAAAATTGATTTTCAATTTCGAAACTTGTTGTTTTTCTTCTCCAAATACCTTCATTGGATAAAGCAAACGAAGTTCTCTATCATGCATAAGTTTCATAAGAGTCCGCGTTTATAAAGGATTTTTTTGAATAAAGTCTTTGCATGAGACTAAAATGGAGTGATTGAATACTTTTTTGACCAACTGTACATATATATACTAACATATTTTTCATCTGTGCTGAAAGATATCGTCTTAACTTCTTCTTGCTTGCTCATGATATAGCCGAAAGGCGGTGTAAAGCAAATTATTAATGACAAACCATTAGATATCAGTAAAATGCTAGTTATTTAAAAAGGCAAAAATTTGATAATTTCTGCTTAACAACAATAAATAATGCTTAAATTCCATCAAGACTTTATTTGAAAATATTCAATCTTAACTACTTCCTGACTTCATCATAGACTTAAAACTGGGTATAGAACTTTTCATATTTCCGAGAACGGCTTAGAGAAATTCAATTCTTTGTGAATCGATGAAACCTAAAACAAAAATGAGATCATAAATAGACAGTGCATATATAATCCCATACGAAAGCTGGTAACAGATTATTCCATATCTCATGCCAGAGAGACAAAAAGAAGAAGAAAATAAGAAAATAAGAAATTCATGAAGAACCCCCAAGAAAACCAGCGAAAAGATGAGGAAAAGAGCGAATTTCCCTCCACTATACCCTACTGATAAACTATAGAATATAGAAACTTGTTTTCAGGTGTACATAAAGAGCAAGCTAAGAAGCAGATGTCGATCTTCAAGATTTCAGAAGTCTGATGAAAGCCACGTGAAGCTGCACAAGATTTCATCTGGCCTTGAAAAGTATAAGTCTTCTTTGTTTTACTTAAGTAGCAAAAAAGATGTGGTTCGACAATTATATCTCAACAAATCGGAATTAATAGGCACTCGAAAAGAGACACAGTCGTTATTTGTAATAGAATGGTGAAAGTGTTACCACAATTATTCATATGTTAATACATATCAGAGATAGAATATGTTACAAAAGTTTCAATAGTTCTTTCTTCTGTCTACATACACTGCTTTCCATACTCATTTAACGAATCTTGCATATTTCTAGAATAAATACCAAAAGCAATTCCCTTTACTGCACAGTTACTTTACAAAAGAAAATCCAAAAATGATCCAGTCTAGTACTAAGTGGAGGAGAAATAATCATTCGATAGATGAAGCCAATAATTATGACTTATCACTGTAATATGAGTTGAAACATCAACTCCTTACAACTGACAAATACTTGCCTATTCAATGTGTAATATGAGCATAATAAGTAAACTCAGATAGCCCCAAGACGTTCAATCGATTTTCTACTTCATAAAGATGAACTCACTCGTGACACTAATATTTAATTTCTTTAGCACCTGCTTCTGATGCTCAAGCTCGAATTTGGCTTGATGAACAAATTCGTTTCAATCCAGAGCATCCATTGACAGCAATCTACAATATGCCTTTCTTTTTTCGCCTTTGCCTGGGACATACTTTATCGATTCAACAAGTTAGACAAGCTCTTCAGCAAATTGTTGCAAAACATGAATCACTTCGAACATCACTCGTCTTCGATACAGAAAAGAATCAACTCATGCAACGAATTATTGACTACAAAGAGAATAACAATAGGTTGTTTGAATTTATTGAAGGTACTTTCGAAACAGATAATGAACTCGATCTCATTATGCATAATGAGAAACGAAACACTCGACTGTTTGATCTTAGTCAAGGTCATGTCTTTCGATGTCATATTCTTCATCACACACCAATTCCTTCAAATGATCTTCTTTGTGATAAAGATGTAATTATTTTTAACTTTCATAATGCTTTGTTCGATTTTCCATCAATGGATGTGTTTCTTCATGATCTCAATCAAGCTTACAGTACAGATCAAATCACTACAGATTATAATTCTCTTCTGCGTTATCTTGATTGTGAGTAGGAATATTTATTGTTTTCAATAGAAACTCTTCGTCATGTCTCTCTTATGTAGATGCTATGATTGAACAACAAATGCCAATGACTGCTGCAAGTATGTTTTGGCGAGACACGCTTCATGACTGTAATCTGGATCAAGCTCTACCGTTGCCATTTGATCGATATCGTCTTTCTGATGAACATCGAACTGGTCGTGGAGTATCTTTCTCTTTCGATTTTGGTGAAGACATTTCTCATGATTTTCTTTCTTATTCATTATCGAATGATATAACAGTTGAACAACTGGCACTTGCTAGTTATTATATCTTTTTGTTCAAATTGACTAATGGAGAAAGTGATTTATGTATTGGAATGAACACACATGGAAGATATAAAGAAGAGTTGATGTCAGTGATTGGAATGTTCGTCAATAATATTCCTTTACGATGTCAACTAGATCCTCATTGGTCTTTTCATCAGCTAGCTGAGCATGTTAAAGAGATAATTACAGGCAGCTTAATGTATTCATATTTTCCTCTTCAACGAATCCTCACTCAACATCCAAATGCTACAAAACCTGCATTTCTTGATACATCATTTGAATTTCAATCACATACGTGTAAAACTGGTAGGAACGAAGTAATGATTGGAAATGCCCGACTTGTTGCTGCGCCCATCTCACTTAAAATTCATGCAGGTGAAATAATGAGCAAGTTCGATTTCGTTCTTACTATTCAACATGATTTGGATACTGATCAATTTTCATGCACAATCAATGCATCACTTGACTTATTTGATAGAAAAACAGCTAATATGATTGCACAACGATTTCATTCAATGTTACAACAACTGTTTAACGTAACACATGTACAGATGAAGAAGCCAATTTATGAGTTCTCATTAATATTACCAGATGAAAAAGTGCTTATGAAATCAATGAATAATACTCAATTATTATTTCCTTCTGCGAGTTGTATTCATGATGAATTTGTTCGTCAAGTGATGAAACAACCGCAAAAAATAGCTGTCGAGCTGGATGATCAGTCTCTCACATATTCTGAACTTTTATATTATGTTCAAGTATTATCTTTGAATCTTTTGAATGAACAATGTGTGATTGTAGGTGATATTGTTTGTCAATTTGTAGAGAGAAGTATATCAATGGTAAGTTGATTGAAAAAACAAACCTTGAAAAGAGTAAGATATTATTACTTACTAGGTGATTGGTATGATGGCGATTGAGATGATTGGTGGTGTTTACTGTCCATTATCACCTCGAGATCCAAAACATCGTTTGCATGCACTGTTACAACAAATTCAAAGCGGACTTGTTCTTGTTCATTATCTAACAAAAAATAAATTCAAAGATAATTTTATTTCACTTGACATAGATTCAGTTTTGATTGACAATGAACTGGAAACTGATGTTGATGTTAATCGACTATCGAGTGTCAATGTAACAGTCCAGAATGTAGCCTACGCTATATTCACAAGTGGTTCAACTGGAACACCGAAAGTGGTTAGTCATTGCTCACATTATTGCTTCAAATGATATGAGTATTGTATTTGTTGCAGGCTCGTATTCGACATCGAACCTTTAGTGAATGCATGCGTTCTTCGACTTATATAGGTAGATTCAATGAGAAGGATACAATTGTACAGATGGCACGTTGTTCATTCGATGCTCATGTGTTACATATACTTGGTGTATTGATGATTGGCGCGACAACAGTGATGCTTCATCCACAAGGACTACTTGATTTTGAATATCTCTCCACAGTGCTTAGAAAGAAACAAATTACATATATAAGCACTGTACCGAGTATTTTTCGTAACTTTTTTGCTTTTTTCCAAGGGTATAACGTTCGGGAAGCTGTGAAATACCTCAGATCAGTATGTTGCGTTGGTGTGTATATTTTAAATCAATTTTTTATTA